CATGACACAGTACAGGCACAAAGCAAGGAAATGAGGTGTGTGTAACCAGGAGTGCAATCATCAATTCTACCGTTATATGATCCATATAAGAGTATATATGTGCAATGGTTAAATATGAGAGCAGGGAAGACGGATGGGTTGGATAAGGGAAGAGTTCACTATGGGAGGTAATGGGGAGGTTCTATATGTGCAGTGGAGAAGGTATATACACTATACTAGGTATATACACTATACTTATTATTATATAAGAGCAGTAATGACATTTTTCATTATAACAGGAGTGAATTAGTGTCAGCATGGGCTGGTCAGCAGTCTGACAGCTGAGTGGAAGAAGCTGTTAGCAGTCCTCTTGGTTCTGGGAGTACCACGGTGGAGAATAAACCTGTATATAACCTGTATATAACCTGTATAAAATGCATATATAACCAGTATTTCAAGTGTATTCATTACAGGGTCAGCTGATTCTGGTCCCGCCTCCTTCAGAGACGAGGGATGTGAATACGATGTAAATATTAATTTATTAATATTTACACATTTATCATCATCAGACACCATCAGGGAATCGGTGCTGAGGTCGGAGAAGGTTCGTCTGAGCGCAGGATCTGCAGACTTGAACGACCCGACGCTACAAGACGTTGTCCTGCAGCAGGTCAGAGGTCACATGACTGTATCAGAGGGAGGAGACGTTATGACTGTCACAGTTACTTTCATGATGAAGTTACAGTAATCTGAATACTCAGTCTGCTCATGTGATGATAATGTATGTTTCAGCTGAAGAAGAAGCTGAAGGAGCGAGGGATCAATGAGGAGGTGAAGCTCAGATGGAGGGACAACGTCTTCCACAGAGAGGAGAAGGACAGAGTGCCTCCTGGTGACTGTGAGGAGAAACACTTCTGTGTTTAGACTCAGTTTATTGATTTCTGTTTCTTTGTGGTGCTTTTCTTTATGAAATCCACTTTAATTGAAGTTTGTGTTCAATGTTTAATCTCTGTTCAAAATTGAAGTCAATTCCAACCGTTCAATTTACAAGGATATAACTTATATGCATGTATACAATATTTATTGAAAATTAATTTATCTCACTTCTACAAATTTTTATTATTTACTTTGAAAATGAGTATTTTACGTTGAGAGGAACACAAATGATCACATGACCAGGAAATCCTGTCACACTGATGATTTATATTCATTCACTTTAATAAACAATGAAAAATATTGTGATGATTGTTGATGATTCTTTCCAAATTAGACAAATTCTGTTTTTAGCAGCCCCATTTAAAAACAGAAACTTTATATGGCTCTGGCCACAACCAGCATTATGTGTTTGAGTTGTCCATCTCCATGTCTCTACGCTTATTTCAATCATGTTTTGTGCTAATTACTTTCTTTTCTACTCTCTTTTGTACCCACGGACATTATGTAAAAGGTCCTTGGGTCTCTTGAAAGGCTCTATATACATTCAAGCTATTATTATTATTATCATTATATCTACGCCTCTATATCTCTGCAGAACCTGAGCCAGACCCTCATTGTTCTCCGTCTGTCCATCAGCCAATGAGCATAGAGACACATGGAAACAGTGAGAGTGAGAATATGAGGCAGGAGCAGCAGTTAGAGGCAGTGGCCACTGGAGGGCAGCACCTCCACTACACAAGCTTCCTGTTTGTGGCAGTTTTATTAAAGCTTTCTTAATTTGTCAAATGTAATCACACCATGATGTTAAAAATTGTCTTTAAATATGACCAGTCAGCTGCTGTCATCAATAATTAATGACCAGTAACCAATAATCCATAATCAATGAAAATGGTCACCTGCTGCTTCTACATCTGACTAATACAAACTATAACTCCCAGAATGCATGTGTTTAATCATATCACTGTTGAGTGGGTTAAAAGAAGTTTTCATAAAGTCAACCGAGTGTTCTCTGTTCGTCTACGTTCACACAATTTATAAAGTGTTATCACAACAACATTACGAATAACACAGAACTATTTTGTGTACAAATATAACAACAACAGAGACAAAACAACCACAACGACCTCATCACTTCACTTCCAGAAAAATGACTGCAGCTGATCTGAGCTCCATGTCTGAGTAGATCCCTCAGGTTCTCTCAATCAGTCACATTTGATTTGTCTCACATTCAGTTTGTCTCATATCCAGCTTGTCTCATCGATGTCAACAAGCACCAACGTCCTCTGTCCTTCACTCAACAAGAGTCAAACTACAGAGACACTTTCTGAGCAGTAACTGAAGCTCAGAGTCACATGTGAGGATCCGTCTCCAGGACACGAGGACAATAGATGCTGATGAACTGAAGACATCAACACAACAACAGATTCTCTACATTAGAAGAAACAGTTTGTAACTTCAGGTTTAAAGTATTTGTACATGAGGACATGTCTGATAGAGATGAAGGATCAGACACATGAACTGAGGAGTCACTGATGGTAGAAGACATGAGGACCTAACCCGACATGTTGAGAACAAAAGGACTTAACTAGCTAAGTGAATATAAAGATGATCAATGTGTGTGTATGTGTGGGTCTCCACCACATTTTAAATTCTCCGCTACAGACTGCAGATGCTTTTTAATGTTTACAGATACTTAAAAGATACTTTACAGGTGTTTATAGATACTTTACAGTTGTTTACACATGTTAAAAGCTTCAGACTCAGCTGATAAATCCACAGACTCCTGTCAAACACTATACGATGCCTGTTACAGCTGTTTGAACTATGCTATGGAGGCTGGTCAGTGAATGAGGACTGTGACAAGGGCCTCGTCCTGGCGTGTGCTGATTGTTGTGGGGGTGGATTTGAAGGAGGCGTCGCTGTCTGACTCATCTGACCCGGTTTGATCCTTGATCCGTCATGTCTGCTTCACTGACAGAGGTTAGAGTGGGAAAACACACAATCAAAGCATTTAAAGGTACAGTGTGTAGAATTTAGTGACATCTAGTGGTGAAGTGTCATGTTGCAGCTGAACACCCCTACCCTCCTCCTCTCCTTCCAAACATGAAGAAGAACCTGTGGCAGGTATTTAAG